TGGGCAAGGAATGCCTTGAAGAATAGCCGCAATGCCTTTGTCCTTTGAGCTAAGGACGCTGATGGCATGACGACGCCAGATTTCGAAACCTGTGCCGCTGAATTTTCCAACGGATTTGGTTATTTCGGAAACGACGTCATCGGAAGGTTTGCTCTCGCCCATGGTGCTAAGTTAGCGGTGCACTCGAAGACGACGATGGTAGGCGAAGCACTAGACGATGGAGCGGCTGCTGAAGTCCAGGACGGCTGACGGCCGCAGGTTTACTACTGCGGTCGTGTGAAAAAAACGCGTCTGTGTGCGCGCGCAGAAATTTCTCTGCGGAGACTTGATTGACAGTCCCGGGAATGTTCCAGGAATGCTCTAAAGGTCGGAGTACCTGGGTAGACGGCGAGGATGGCCGATGGAGAGGCTGACGCTGCGAAAGAACGTGCCTTGATGCCGACGTGTGTTGCTTCAGATTTTGTCTGGCTTGGGTGCGGTGGGCACGTCGATGTAGAACGTGTAGAACCTGCGGACTCTTCGAAGAACAACGTTCGTTGGGAAGATCGGCGCGGAGAGGGCTCAGGGAAACATCTTGAGCGGTGTCTCGGTGGAAATTGGAGAGGTAGTGTGTAGAGCTTGTCGGACTTGACGAACGTGTCGAACGTGCAGAACGTGAAGTGGATGATCTTGAGCCTTGATGAACTCGATCTTAGTCCTCCTCACGACGTGCCGAAGAAGTTGCTGGCCAGCGTTTCAACTCCGGGGCGGATGCTTTGTTCGATGCTCGGTTTACCGGTCGGAGGAATGCAGACGCCGTTGCTCCCCCTCGCTGTGTGGAAAACGAGAACTGATAACCTGATGGAATGTAACCGTGTGTAGGTTGTATTCCTGGCACTGGGCACTGTGTGTATAACAGTATGGTGGTGCAGAGGCTCACAGAGTGATCGTGAGACACTTGGATTCAGGTTGGCGCTTAGGTGGCCGAAAGGTAGAACAGTTGAGGAGTGATCAGGTGGGGGGCGAGCACCACAGGGGTTAGCCCTTTAGCCTGTCACGGAAAAATCTCACACTCGGACTATTGCTAATCAACCGATAATCGGATAGTCCGATGTATCACAATATCCTAGAATATCCTTGTGGATATGTAGAGCCAAATGTATAGCTTATGGCTAAGATTTAACCCGATGGGTGTGTGTGTACAATCATCCGATTACTCAATGCAATGAGCCGAAGATTATTCCAGTAACAGTTACTGGGTTCCTATGGCTTGAGACTAATGTATGGTAGCTTACAGCAGTACCAATACTGACTACTGAACATTGAATATTCCAACATCGACCATTCTCCCACCGATTTGTGGTTGTGACGGCTTTGTAGTCATCGTCTTGTAGCACAAAACCGTGAGGGATTATATTCGAGTTTTGAATCGCGTCGGCGTTGGAGGTGCGTTGGTATTGCCTCTGGGTGACTTCGAACCAGTCAGAGAGCCCCCTGACGCCCATGTGTACCCTGCCTTGCGTTCCGTCGTGGAACTGGTGGATGATTGTTATCGTTTCCTCCGGGATCTCCGCTTGAACCACAGCAGCCAGCTCTCCATCGACGGGTCAACTTTCTTCTGGTCGGCGACGCACTTGAAAGCGTGTACAAGAGTGACATTCTCCGCCTGCGCCCCAGCTCTTCTAGCCTGTTCACGCCACGATCTGCAAGTCGGCGGTGGATCTACCCAGCCGGAAGGCGCACTGCTCGTCCGTCAAGGTGTCCAGTGGTCTGAAGAAGGCGCCGAGGCAGTTTTGCGATGATCTTCAGGGTTACTTAGCCTGCGTGTGAGATGCAAGATGTACTGTATCCCATTATATTTCTGTTGTTCCAGTTGGATTGATCCGACATATTGTACAGTTGGCACCCGCACGTAAGCACCTCTAGGTTTGACCGAGGGTTTTTACTTCCGAAGTTATGCTGCGAATATGGCCACCATACAGGTTTTAGTGTGGGAGTTCTTGACCGAGCTCACGAAAAATGGTGCTCAAGTCTTCCACAAGTCCCTTAATTTTTTCGATTTTTCGAGGCTCAATTTCTGAACTATCAAGTTCTTACACGTGCGGGTGTTAGCTGCAGAGACCTTTGATGGCGGCATCTTTCCATTCTTGCGGGACCTCCCCCTCACCCTACACATCGCCGAGAATGGCGTGGAGGAAGTTTTCGGTGATGACAGGCTTGCCGGTAGCTCCATCGGCAATGAATCATGGCCAGACGCCTTCCAGTTTCTCACCCCCCTTGCTGCCCTTCGAGTCTCAGCAGGGTCGATAGTGTCGACCCCAGGCACAACGAACCTCTGGCGGGTTGGGCCGTCGGTCGCTGCATTACCTCCTCGATCATGGATGGGCTGAGCGTGGGAGATTTAGCCCTGAGGGAAGAGCCAAAGAACCCCGCCCGTTGGTGGAGATCATATTTGCATCTCCCTTGTTCCTCAGCAGGACACCATTCATTCTCATTCTTAGCAAACAACTGCTGCCCCCCTACGTGCGCCTCGTGAAGAGTACTGAGGTCTTGAGGTTTTCGTGGAATCCACCCGCAGGTCTCCGTCCATTGAGGATCGATTGACACGATCCGCCTCAATGCCGTCCCTTGTTTACGCCCGTTGGACTACCACGGACACCTTTGCTCTGGAACCCTAACGTTGGAGGTTGGAGTAGGAGGAGTCCTCCGAGGTGAAGGAATGAATAAACTGCTGTGGTATCATTACCTTGATCATTTACAGGGTCTACGTGTCACCTGTGCAAGCTAAAGCGAACCTAGGACGCTCGTCGGGTGAGAATTAAGGGGTGTTGGAGTTCTTCTGTGGATACCCTGAAAAAACACTTCCGTTCCAAAACCTACTTTCGTTCTATCGATGATTTACTTACCGGTTGTAATCGACGCACTTACATACCCGTCAAATGTTCTCTCAGAGCGGGTTGCCATGTCCGGCGAGAATTCCTGCCTCGCAGGAGGTCTCGTCTAATCCCTTGCTAACCTACTAGAAACCAAGTGCAGAGGCCATAGACAACGCATTATCGAACTCCTACAGGAAATTTTACCGGCGTTTTGGTTACTAGGTGTGACATGTGAATTGCTGGGGATTGGTATTATTGTTCTGTGATCGTCAGGTCTGGCCTGCACGAGAAGTGTATTTCCTGCCTGTGAGTGAGTGTTCCTGTTTCGTTTTGTCATACTCCATCTCGCTGTTCTTGTTGCCATCACCACCAGGTCTGTCTGCCGTGAAATTCTCGGCGACAAACCCAACGCGACAAACACTTTTGGCTCTCTCGTGTACCCCAAAAGCCGATACACGACCCCTAAAAACGACCTGGACGATAGCCAAAGCTATCTGCGCCTCGAACACCAAGTGTATGTATCGTTTTACCAAAGTCAATCCCCAGAGCGTCAAAGTGAATTTACACAAAAACCAATGCACCGAGAAAAAACCTTTCACTGGTTAATCGATTTTGCGCAATAACCGACCGGTCCACCTAAAGGAGTAACCCCGGCGCAGGAAACGAAAGCTTTCATCAACATCATTTGGAGCACATGGACATCTCATCAATACTAATCTAAGACTCCTCCTGATGATCAAGACTCCATCTCATCAACATGTTTTAAGGGAAAGGCACAAGAAGATACCTTGACTCCACTATCATTCCTATCATCCCACCCCGTTTGAAAAGGGATAGATAGCAGGAGGCCACCGTACTGCCGTCGCGGCGGAGGAAAAACGATGTCATACGTCGAATCACGGACATGAAGTACAAGTAGGACTTTACAACAAGGCGCACGGAAGTGTGAACTGGGCAGGATGTGGGAGGCGTCGACCTGCGGAAGCCAAGGAAAAACAAAAATGGTACGGAAACCAGCGAACACAGCATCCCATGGTACTTCTGGACGGTAACTGGCCATGACGGTACCATTTGGATGGTAGCTGTCCATCAGGGTAGTTTCGTACGGGAACCAGCCACCAAGCAAGGTAATGCACGGAAATATTTGGGTGGGAACTGACCACCAGGTAACAATGCGCGGGAACGCTTGGTTGGGTGGTACACCCCGCACGGCGAGGCACCAATTCGAAAAAGTTGTGCGAGGGTTCTTTTCAATTGTTAGCACGTGTCGGAACACAAAAACGGTGCGTTTCAAAGAACACGACAATTGTTTTTGAGACTACGGGCAAAATGTCGCAGTCAATTTACCAAAAGACAAGAGGCAAAAGACAGAAGACGAAAGATAACGAACGACGTCCAGAGCTACACCTCGCAATCAATGTTAATCACTTGATCATAACCTTTCTGAGCTACGTGAGGACTGAACGTACGTACCGAACTGTTGTGCGAGACGACGCATTCAAAATACTAAATCACCACCTACCTCGCACACGCGTGTGTATCGAGCAAAACCACAAAGCATGAGATACCGTATCACCTGTACACTACAATTATCTGCATCAACAGCGGGCAAGAAGTCCAATATCAACAAAACACCTGCCTTGAGGCTATATGCAACCCGCTCAGCTACGGCCAATAGGTGTGGCACTACCGCGTGGTACTGGTAATTGAATTCTGGTAGTTGACAGTATATGCGTGGTAATATTTTGTGTGGTGGTATCAAAATGCGACGGGATTTGACATTTTCACCGTAATTGGTTGGGTGGGAACAACGGGATATGATACATACCCACCCGTGATGGCGAGTCCGATGGTGGGAGAAGATCCTTCGCTTTTTAATCGTTGTGAATGGGTACGGTAATTGCGAATTCTCACGGTAACAGTACCATTTACTATCCCCCCGTAGACTTCCCGTGAGAATCGTACCGCGGGAAAATGCCCGAGAGGAACTTAGAAAATACCGTACTGTGGCCGTCGGTTCGAGGCGTCGACGTGGAAGGCATGCATTGTTGCCTGCCTTTCACTGTGACAACGGGTTCTCAGCCAAAACGACGTGGGGTCCGTTCTTTGGTCCCGTCTCTCCGTGGTGACTTCAGACGAAATAATAGCAAAGGGTGTGACAAGAATGATATTTTCATGGGCCTAGACTGACAATAACTGAAGCTAGCTGCGGCATCTCTACAGCAGGACGATACGCCTAGTTCGTTCAGCGAGAGACGCTCGCGCTTCTCCACAAAGCTCCACAAAGTCTTGCTATTCTGCCAAATCGTACGTGCAAGAAATAATCTCATCGCCAACTTTCCTCCCTGCCTAGTTGGCCCCCTATTCCCTATTACATGTTGTTTCGAAATGGGCGTACACACCATGTAAATACTAGTGTGTGCCTGAGCTGCGGACTGCGTACCTCGTAACCAACCACTTTCAATGGCATCGCTAACCACACGCCGAAGGTTGCGCACGCTAATGCTCTCACTCAAAAACTGCAGGGAGGATTCCATTCGTCTGTCCCCGTCCTCTATTCGAGAGCGGCTTACTACAACCGCCCCCCCGCCCCCCCCGAATGAGTATGCCCGCTAGTATTTAGAATGTGCCCTACCGTCACGTGCATGGTGTTCTCTGAAGTACGAGATCCTGAGAACACGTGTATCCAACTTCTTCGTGAAAAGATAACAACACTTGCGTCACCTCGTGAAAAGCAACACACCATGGTGTACCGTACGTAGTATCGCAACAAACGTCACCACCCGTTCCAACAACTGTCGCACGAGGCCCCCACGCCCCCCGAGGTACTGTCAACGTTCAGCAACGACGTGTCGATTGGGCGTACCCTTGAAAAGCTGTTCGATGCTATCATAACCGCAATGCCGTGACGACTAAAAACAGGTGTCCAACGCGCTACTTGGGAACGTAGTTTTTTTCATGGGGTTTCTTTGAACCCTGGAACGCAAGCCGTTCACAGTAGTCCCTCCGCTGCGGTGAAGAGGAAGCCGACGATACCGGTAGCAACTGCACCGAACACGGCTGCGCCGGGCGATGAGCGCGAAAAGAAGCTAGACGTCCCGCTGGTGACCGGAGCTGGAGTGGGAGCAACGGTAGCCGAAGTGTCGCATAGGTCGATCAACGTGCACGACTCCACCTCGTTCTCCTCGATCAGGCAGTCTGATTGGAACACGCGCACGTGACGAAATTTTTATTGGGGGAGGCGCCGAGATTATCGTCTATTTTCTTTTTATCGGTCGTGGTGGCGGTGGGTCAACAAGATGAAGTCATTTCCGGCATGCTATTCGCCTCGCGAAAACCGGGTGACATCCGCTGCCAACACCCCGTCAAGACGCGGCAGAAAAACAACATGCAAACGGACCCCCGGCAGACTAGAGACACCGGCGTCCGACGAAACCAAACGATCGGACAGAACAAACGTTGTGCACACGAATACCCTGCATTCTCACTTTCCATGTATGACATTCTCAAGCACTTCTCAAGAGGCTGGCCCTTTGTTGGGTACATTCCAACCTGTTGTTCCGTCTCCTGTTGTTCCGTCTTGCAGGGATTGTGTGACAGCTTGCAAAGTGATTGGAAAGGGCTCAAACTGTGAACCAACAACCACAAACTTACTAGTGTAGGCCAATATCAAGGAGTTCGTGCGGCATTCGTCCTCGCCATCCACCCCCCCAGCATAGCAGCAGTACATGTCAGCGAAGTCCTGGCAGGTCTCAGGCTCGCTTTCAACCACACAGCTTCCGTCCTCCATGTACGCGTCACCCGCCGTAATGCAGGCTGCGCACGCGGTATTAGCCTGGGAAATCCGCAGAACGGAGGCATCAGGATTTTGACCACTTCGGATAGGTACATGCTTCAACCGGTAGACGAAAGCAATAGTACCAAAAGCGGCAGAACCAACCACGTATCGCTCGGCTCCGTCTTGCCCGCCCGAAGGCTCGAGATTGATCGCATCTTCTACCTTCATAGACGAGTTCCAAGGCCCATACAGAATCATGCAATACGGGAATGTTCTTGCCATAGAGAACAGTGACCACGCTACGAAGGATATGTTCAACAGGCTGTTCGATCCTTGTATGTTTGAAGCCTTAATGGGAACACCGCCACGTAGAACTTGGTTTTATCGCAAACACACACCCTGAGTGCAAAACTATGCCTCGCAAACCCAGCGTGTTTCCCTTGGGGGCATGGTATTGGAATAGGCGCATGAACTTGAATGAGGACTGCTGTCACCCCTACTGAAATCATCTCCTCTGATTTACGGCATAGCGGCGTGCGGGAGCATGCGTCTCATGATTGCGAATGGACGCGGAAATCGGGGAGAGATCGCACACGTTTATTCGTCTTGTGTTTTCACCCGCCCGCATAGCGGTTATTGGTGTTTGGGAGTTTGGACCAACACAGTGCCATGGATTTCTGCGACTATGTTTTGCTTGTGTTTCTTCAACCACACCCAAGGTAGAACTTACGCAGTAAGCTGTTCGACTGTGTGTTAGAGAGTGGCGACTGAACGAGTGCCGATGAGGGGGGCAGAACGGTGCCGTGTCGTTAGCAGTGAATCAACTTCGCTACGGTTCATTCTCTGGGAACCTACGTAATTCTTGATGCGTGCCATACCTCGCAAGCGGCCTTCTCTGTGCTGCACACGTCCACGTCGCCGCCGCCGTCGTCTAGTCGAAGGTACAGGACCGTCGGGCGAGAGACGAAAGGGTAATTTTACCAAAGACTATCCGCAACAACGGTAGGTATCACGCTCGAATAGGGAATACCCGTACACACGACGGGGAAATTGATTCAGGGCATGAGCCTTGTCGAGCGCGTGAAGAACCTCACGTAGTCGGGAAGGATGGCACATGCGTGAGGTGTTTGATGACAAACCTACGAGGGCAGTCCGACCCCGAACAACAATCAATGCACGGTTCACCAGGCACGACCTACGGGAAGAGTTTCAGCGAGTGACATCAACAGGTGAGCTGCTTTCGAAGAGGTACTTGAAATACCGAGCACCTGACGTCCAAGTACGGACACAGCCTACCGCCAACTACGTTATGTAGGTAGAAACCCGTTTGCAACGAGAGTGATGTGTGCTATTTGAAGTCGGCCACCCTGGATACGTTCAGCATGTGGTTTAGAGGTGAGAAAAATCCCAAGAACTGTTGGAGATTCAATACTCGAATTTTGAATCGCGTCGGCGTTGCATTGTTGGTGTTTAAATCATTGGTTGAAGAGTGCGGCATGTCACAGGTTGAGGAGGGTTTCTGCTATGGCAAAGATACCGGAATCCCTTCGCCTGCACGGAACATGGCGCTCCATAATCACCTGCTTCGCAGCACTGCTCGTCGGTGCACGTGCCGTTGGTGCAGAGGGTGGTTGCCGCATCTTGAATCTGAACTTCGTTGGTCACCGTGCAGTTGTGCGAAAGACACATCGTGTCTACGATCAACGGATCGGGCGGAGAGGGACCATGCAACAGGCAAGCGGGGGCATATTGCGGATCTGTCATTTTGAACTAGTTTCTTGCGAGATCACCGGGTAGCGCATCTATCGCACAAAGCTTGTGTTCAACATTTCGAATATCGTCAAGCGCGCGAGGTCATCAAGAAGATCGATTCACACAAGGGAACATACTGTATTCCAAGACGTCGACGTCACACGACTCGCTCACCATTCAAGTCGCAGACACCATCTTCGTTGTCATCGTTGTAGCCATCCGTGCAGGTGCACGCGGCGGTGTTGTCGTTTTGAGTGGTGCAATCCTGGTTTTCTCCGCATGCGTCCGTGACCGAGCACGCCTCTGCAAGACAAGAACAACGTGTACAGTGGGGTTCGGCCGTCTGCACCGAGGGTCGGGAAGGACCTTCCAAAATGTACATTGAAGTTCATGCCGTACATTTCGTTCTGAAATGCATCACTGGGGGGTGGGCTTGCCCGCTCATTCCATCCAAGCTCTTGAGGGCGTTTCGACCGTTCGTCCACCGATTTGTGGTGGTTGTGACAAGTTGATGTGGAGTCTAATCATCGTCTTGTAGCACGAAAATGTGACGGAGTACACTCGAATTTTGAATCGCGTCGGCGTTGCAATGTGTTGGTGTTCAAATCATTGGTTGAAGCGTGCGGCATGTCACAGGGTGAGGAGGGTTTCTGCTATGGCAGAGATACCGGAATCCCTTCGCCTGCACGGAACATGGCGCTCTATACTCACCTGCTTCGCAGCACTGCTCGTCGGTGCACGTGCCGTTGGTGCAGAGGGTGGTTGCCGCATCTTGAATCTGAACTTCGTTGGTCACCGTGCAGTTGTGCGAAAGACACATCGTGTCTACCTCTAGCGATCAAACGGATCGGGCGGAGAGGGACCATGCAACAGGCAAGGGGCATATTACCGATCTGCATTTTGAACTATTTCTCGCGAGACCACGGGGTAGTGCATGTATCGCACAAAGCTTGTGTTCAACATTCCGAATATCATCAAGCGCGCGAGGTCATCAAGAAGATCGATTCACACAAGGGAACATACTGTATTCCAAGACGTCGAGGCTACGTCACTCGCTCACCCTCTATGGCGCAGGTAACATTGGCGGTGGCAGTATCGGAATCGATATACCCGTCCGGGCACACTGATGCACCGAATCAGGTGGTCCGCCGTACATGTTGAGCACGCGTCAGCGATCAGCAAGAGAGGTAACGCCCGGCGAAGGGAATAGAAGCATGATCATCAGGAGGGCGGGGGAATGATCAGCGATGTTGAAGTATGTGGTAAGCCATATTGTCGGGAGTGTGCCGTTTGCGGTACTTCTCTGCCGGCGTCGACCCATTGTTCTTAAGACGTTTGTACCGTGAACGTAGCACCACAGTAATAAGACTAGACTACCGTATATCGTGTATCCGAAATTGGTTCTGGAACCTGCTTTCCCAACAAATAACACAGACATAAGTATTGCACGAATCCGAGCATGAGAACCGTCCCTTCAACACCAACCCTGGATTACACACTCCTTGAGGAAGAAAAATTACTTACAGCAGCAATCGTCCTCCGTGCAAGCGTTCGCTGTGCCTGTGCAGCTGCTATTAGTCGCGGCCACGGTCGTGCTGTTGTCGGAGCAGGGGCTGGCCCAGTTATCGCTACACGTGTCTGCGTTCACCTGGAGTACAGCCACTGCAGCGAGCATTAATGCCTCGAAGATCTTCATGGTGGCGATGACGTGTGTATCCTATCGACGCAGATCAACACAGGGACAGACGGAAACGTAAGGGTGGGGGAAGTTATGCGAATCGCTGGAAGAGCAAGAAAAATAGAGTATCGCTTATGAGGACAAGATGGATTGATAGATATCAAAGGCTTGTGCTCGTCTTTCAAAGTGTCCCTAACAATGACAGGCACGCACGGCTTTCCACGGGCTGGAAAACGAGAGCATTTCAATGCGGAAAATGCGGCGTGACCTCATTGAAACCGCCGGATATCCGTGAATTAAAAAAAATATTAATCCAAGTGCGTTGCGCATGTGTCAGATTCCATCGCGTATGGTCACGTCACAGTGATCGACAGTTAAAAGTGAAGACCGCTTAAGAGTCTTTGTCAAAACGGAGTGAGGATGCGAGAATAAAAGCGCCGCCAACAGGGTCCTAAATGATGTTGCCATCAATACAAGATACGAGACTACTGCTCTATGTACACTAGAGTCAATGCAAAATGCGGCGAGTTTTTCGTCGAGCTTGGATATCGTCAAAATGTAACCATCAAGATCAACTTTTCCCAAATACTGCTGCATTGTCCGCGCGCGTGTGTGCATGCACGAAATGTACCATCGTCGACGATCACGCGAAAGCTAGCTGAGTTGTGAGCATGAGTCTTATCACGTGTTGCGATACATATGGTCTCCCCACAAGGGTGTACCGCGCCGATCTTTCGTACGATACTGCGAGAAGAGCAACACGCCGTAGCAGGACCGACAAGTAAGTCGATGTCAACAAGATTCCATAGAGAGAAAGGGGGAAAGAAACATTCCCACCAGGAGCACGCAATGACAGTGTCTTGAAACGAAGGGTCCCAACACCGCGAAGGTAGGAAACCAGTGTTTCGTCCGCCGTAGCAGTGATGGAAAAATCGTCGACAATATACCATTGAAGCACTTGAATATTTTTTTTGAAACTTTCGTTCTGTACACTCCGTCGACAACGGGAATACCGACCACCAAAGACCCGACTACAGTAGCAAACAAGAGGGTAGGCCATCCTGCGCTCTGCCCCAATTTAGAGATACTGAAACGTAGATACACATTTAAGACAAACATGGCGACCGCGGGAGACGTGCACGCAGGCTCCACCAAGGCTACATACTCGTGCTGGTGTAGACGCTGCTGTGTCCCTTTCGCTGCACTCTCTTTCGGTACCAGCGTGTCTGGTAGCCATGCGACGACTGTGCGACGGCTGCCGTTAGTGCTCGGCAAAGAGGCGTGTGCAAAGGGAGCAAGCCACGGATGTACACTTGGGATTTCCACCACAACCTGTGTGGGTATGCATTTCTTTCTTGGTTGTGGAAGAACCGACTTGGTCTTCTTCCGATCACCCCGCAGCTCAACCCGCGGCTACATAGCACTTGAATTTTAAAACCGGGAGGCGGACGCTGCGGCAGCACATGATGCGGCGACTCAAACGTCGACCAAACACTACAAATAACAAGGTCGTCAGCTGGCCAGGTGCTCTTCGAAAGCAAGCCACATCTGTTTCGGTGATCCATTTCTTCGCTGGCGCTGATTCCAGGAAAAAGATCTTCGAGTGTTCGTGTGTCATACAGAACCCCAAAGGGCAGCTGAAGAGGAGCTTCATACAAACCCGGCTATCCTAGACCAAGCAACACGAGAGAGGTACGCCTACCCTTGACACACCTGAGGCGAAGGAGGATACTTTGGAGGATGTGGAGAAGTGGCAAAGATGAAGGCCCGGAATCCCCACGAAAACAAAAATGGAGAAACCGTTACGAAAACAGATACGAACAGGCCGACCCCCCAACCAATCCGACCGGCTGTCACTGCTGATTGGCTAAGATGCTTTGTTCTCTTGTGTCCTTGGTGGTCGCCGACCTTCTATTTTGACGGTTTCAGCACAGAACGCGCGTGGATGTTGGTGGCTTGACGGAGCAAGAGCTAATTGGTCTACAGTAGTAGTGCAACAACAGTGATACATCGAAAAAACAGCTATAAAAGAACTGTACAGTATTACATTTCCAAAGGCACTGCCCGCCGCTTCTCCGATGATGTAGGAAATGAATAAAATATAGCAAACTATATAACGGAAGCTTAAGGGTCCTCTCGGCGGCATTCGTGTCGTTATACGTGGCGGACACTTGCAGGAGGTCTGTTCTGGTTGACGGCTCCCCCTTCTATGTCCAAGCCTTAAGTTCGACGAAAAGGAACTGCTGCTGTGAAGCCTCTCTCATCACACAATCACTCGTGAAAGCTTCACATATGTAGACTAGACTACCATCTTTTTCAGTATTTCGTGGAACGTTCCATTTAGTAAGCAATGGAAGCCTCTATCGAAACTCTTGAAGTTGGTGGAAACTGTTCGAAGTGCTTCCAGAGGTTCTACTTCCACATGATAAAATAATGTATTTTCCCGGCTTCAGAAGAGCCGAAAGCTCGACGACTTGTACATACATGCACAAGTCGTCAGGTTGTATTAATATAGGATAGTGTTTGCAGTTTTAGACTGTAGATTGATAAATAGACGGGTAGATAATGAAGACACTTTCTCGCGATGAGGCTGCCACCGGTGGAAGTGCCGCCAGATGTCCGTCACAACAAGACAAACTACCTCCTCCGTGGAAGCGATTGTAGCCAATTGAGCTTCCAAGGGAGTTCCTGATGGAGGGAGAAGGAAGCTTAGGAGTATTCTATTGGGGGGTATTCCCCACTCCACAATGCATGATCATGGAAGGCTGGGGCAATTGCCTATATCGCATCCTCGTGCCACGTAGAACTCCATGAATATTCCACGGTGTACCACGAAGTCTCGCGGTGTACCATAAAACAAGCAAAAGAACAATAAAACTTTGAGGGTGTGCCGTGGATCAGGCCATGAATTTCACGGGTGATATCGATGGGTAACCTATCGTGATTCACATGGTATATTACATTGGACTCCATGTGTCATTGACTCTGCCACATGGAGAATGACACGGTAACTTCCACAGCGATTTCCACTGAAAATTCCATGAATAATCCTCGAAATATTCCACAGAAGAAATGATGTGTCCTGTTGTTGGGTCATGCGCGAAATCCCCCCCCGAAAATCAACTCTTTGTCATGATATAGGAAATACACAACAAACTGAAATCTTACGAGCACAGCAGCAGCAGCCTCTGTTCAGGATGTATGTTCCTATTGTATGCATGCCGCAATACGAGCAATAAGTATCATGCAACCCCTGTACTTGTAGCTTCGCCTAAGATAACAACAAAGCTTGCACGAAGTTAACGCAGAAGCATCAACCTACGCTGTACACATCGTACAGCAGCAGAGAGTAGTAGTCGATAAACTCAGTTGAAAGGGTTACGGTTCCTGTTACGTTTGGCGCGCGGAATCCCACCATGAAACTTTCTACGATTTCCACGGCGTGGAAGGAAAGTGGACGAGAGGTACAGTACACCACGGAGCGCCACAGGATGTTCCATGGAGACTCACGGAAAATTCGATAGGAACTTCTTCTGTGGAGCTCGCCGCGGACAATTCCACAATTTTCCTCGCCCATGCAACTCCATGGAGCATTCCACTATTACATGGAAATCCATGGAAGCCCATGCTGTTCATTGGCAGAGCGTGTGACTTTCCATGGAATTCCACGTCCTTCCGCGGCAAGACGTAGGTTCCGCCGTGGAATGCCATGGAGGCCCATGAATGTCCTTGGAATTTTTTGTGGCGTGCCGTGGAACCTCCGTGAACTTCCGTCGGGGTCTCATATTCCACGGAATGTTCCGAGTAGTTGACATATTATTTGGAAGCGCCCACCACCTCCCCCCCCCCCCCCCCCC